GTATTTGGGCCAGAATTTCATTGAAGTATCTTTTATTCCAATCCACATACAATACCCATACGTGTTGAGATCAAAAAAATCGAATAAACGGGTCTAGATTCTTATGGCGAAGTTTTTAAGGGACAGAGAAGTATCGACACTTCACTTTATAAGGCTACAACACCGTATCGACTACAGGTTGGGGCATTTGGAGCATTTGGAGTTTGCCCGGGCTCGGTTTCGTCCACGATCGTTTCTGCGGTTTTTGAGGGTCGCATTTTTGGGCTGAAATATGGCTATTAAAGGCGTTTTTAAGGCTTATGATTGAAAAATTGCTTAAATTTACTTTCTAAATTCAAAGGCTAGGGAAAATACATTTGTAAAGCGTTGCGTAGCTTGCTAAAAACGTACTCGTGCATATTGCCGAGCGCAATTTCTTGGTCTTCCTCTTCGTCGGAGATGTCGCCTTCTTCCCACCTAAAAATTGTCATTTTTAAGATGGATTTAAAGTTTTAAGTCATTAAATGTTTAAATTCGAAAATTTTCCAAAGATTGTCACATTTGTACCAACCTGCTGTACCGCTTCTGCGGCACCGAGACGTAGAAGCCGACATTGTTTCCACAACAAATCAGGAAAATCGTGAAGAGGATCATCGCGGAGAGCAGGCAAAGGAGCCCGACTTCCAGCATGCTCCAGGCGGAGGCGGACTGGTTGCCCTCGACTAAAAATGAGAGTATTAGGTGCATTTTACGTTCTTTCTCTCTCTCTCTCTCTCTCTCTCTCTCTCTCTCTCTTTCTCTCTAGCTATCTTTCTCTTTCTATCTCCCTCCTGGCTAAAATAATGTTCGGCTTGTAAAATTTTCAGGTTAAAGGGAAACTGACGGGCCGAGGTCCAAACCTTAAAGGAACTAGGAAGTCACCGAGTCAATTGCGCATGGCCAGGTGTCGACGGCCGCGTTACGCTTTTTATTGAACGTTAATTAAAGCGCCGCGTAGTTTTCGACACCTAGGGGAATCTGGGGGCCGATTCTCACGTGTTCTTGCCCCTGAAGGGTACCCGGTTTTGTTTTTCATCTAATTTCCACTAAAACATTAAACCCACATTGGCAAAACGGTCCGTGAAACGGTGCAACACACGTGCATCGGTATCCGCTTCCATGGTCCAGGCACGACCCTCCATTCAGACATTGCGTCGTCAGGCAGTTCGACAGGAAGTCTAGAGAAGAGACAAAATACATGCTCAGCATTCAAGTGTCAGCCGGGTTTTCAGTATTGTGCCCACATCCCAGGGCCCCAGGTAGTCCCAGGAGCTTTTCCTCTTTTTTGTTTTTGTATGCGCGGCGTTCAGTGACGGAAATGGGGGTTCGGGATTACGGTAGACCAACTATCGAAAATAGTGATTCGAGAAAGGGTGATTTGGTCTATTTTGTCGGCGTGTTTTTATGGCTTTTCAGTGACGGTCGGGGCGATGGATTTGCTTGTAATTTTTGTTTTTTTTGGTCGCTGAGTCAGCAATTCCGGAATTCCAGCAGGTTTAGAGTTTGCAGGGATTGCTTAGAAAATATTTAGATCGTTAATAAAATTGTAGATAATATTTTATAGCGAGTTTGGTGCAGATGGTAGGCGGAATAAAACTAGGAGGAATTATTTAGGTCGTAATCCGCTTCGATTATTTTCCGGAAAGCCACCCGGCAGAAATAAGGCTTCAGGAAGGTGCAGAAAGTATTTTAAGAAATGGTTCCAGTGCTTCAGAAAATTGTAGAACTTCCAAGGTATAGAGTATGCGGATAAAACACGCTAGAGTAGTGCTGCGGAATTCAAAAAAATCGCTCTCTTACGGTAGTTAGGCAGTTTTTAGATGTTAGATACGCTCGAACTGGCTTGAGCTAAAAATTCAGCAGTCCGGAATTACCAGAATTTCATAAATTTTCAGCTTACGGTAGAAAGGGCAACGTTTAGAGGATGAACACGTCGGAATTCCCGGACAGCAAGGCTGGATGCTGTAGAAAACGGAGCTTTTAGGAATTCAAGGATCGATAATTAATCGTGAGGATACGGTAGGAACAGGGAAATTTTTAGCTAGCAGGCCCGAATTCTTGAAGAATATAGAAATTCGGATTTGACGTCAGAATACGATTGTTCGTGCTAGCTCCAGCCCCAGCTCCAAGTAACCAAAGCCCAAAAAGTCGTCGAGATGAAGCGCCGCCCGAAAATAGCCCGCAAAATTGCCGAAACCAGCCCGGGGTGAAGGGGGTATTGTGGATGACGGTGGATTGATATCCCCGGGAGGGTGAGGCTCCACAGAGAGAGGTCTTCAGATGCGGGGTATGGCGCTCAAATTTTGGGCCGTTTCGCTGAAAACAGGAGGGCAAAGTCTGGGGGCTTCCCTCGGGACCCGCTACTCTTCTAGCTCCGGCTCCCGGGTCATTCCCCCGGAAAAAATGGGCCAAAAACAAGGGCAACCGGGGGGTATGTTGTCTTTTTTGAGGACGAGAAACCTGGACATAGTTTTCCGGCCCATTTCACCCGCGAGGAATTCCGGGGGTGGTAGAGGCTGGGGTGGTGAGAGGAATGCATCTAGGAATCTGGCAGAACCACTTATCGTAGGCATTGGCAAAGCGGAACGGAAAATCCGGAACGCTTGCTGTTTTGTTGCCTTTTTTCGGTGGTTAAAGCCTTTACCTACCTTTAACCAATACCTTTAACTTAAAGGTATTGGCCATTCGTCGCGACTGCTGTCGAGATGTCAAATTTGAATTTGTCGGGACTCATTTTGTAAATTTCTGATCTCAAACAGAACATTACGCGCAGCGTATTGAAATTTCGGAAAAATTCCATTTCGACAAAGTTGATTTCGACAAAATTTGTTTTCAGGAAATGGTCGTCATTCCATTTTTTGCGCAAAATTGCCAGCTCTTGAAAGAATTCTGATCGAAATCCCGAGAATCATAACCCCGACAGCTAAAAACCCGAGACGCCAAAATTCCGGCAGGTCAAAACGCCGACAATCAGAAACCCGACAGCCCTAATCGCGACGACTCAAAGCCGAAAAGTAGAAGAAGTGGACATCGATAAATTGGATGCCGGCATTTTCGATGTCGGCATTTTTGATGTCGGGATTCTGCATTTTTCCTCACTTGATATTACCCTTAGCTAGTGATTGTTAAGTGAAATCCCTGCCTGAATTCCCGTTTTTAGCACATTTCACTACATCTCTCAACTACAGACCTGGTCTCAACGAGAAAATAGTCTTCGCGCGCCACCACTCATATCTGGGCCAACATCTCGATAGCGGATGATTGATATGGCAAAGGAGTGACCCGGAAGTCTGGCCTCTAGCTGCTGGCAAAATCCCCATAAATCTGAACAAGGGCAGTTGGGCGAAGTGCGAGGGGGGTTAAGAGAAATCATGGGCAAAAATAAGGAAGGATTGATGGGGGTGGCGCATTGTTTTTAGACCTTTATATCCACGGAAATTTTTGCCAGTCAATTCCCGGAAGACTGGGATTTTTGCAAAACAAAATAAGATAGGAAAGGGAGATTCAAATATTAAAAACAAGGCCATTAGAACGAGGATGGGTTGAAATTGACGAGGATCTCTAATGTTAATCATACCAAATCTGGGCACGTGAGTGTGCTAGAGGGTGACTGAGCGTGAGAATGAGCACGACTGAGAAAGCGCAGGGGAAAGAGACATACAGAGAGAGAGGTAGCGAGAGAGAGAAAGAAAGAGAAAGCGAGAGAGAGATAGATAGAGAGAGAGAGAGAGAGAGAGAGAGAGAGAGAGAGAGAGTAAAAAAGCGAGGGTGAGAAAGTAGAGGCTTGGATTCTGGAGCAACAGCAATAATTCTGGCCTTAATGAGCTGGTAGGCGGAAAAATGCTTTTAGCGAGATTGAAAAACATAAATTAATAATTTTTACTCTTTTAAGCGTCAAGACCTATTAGTAGATGGAAGCGCGACTCAAGTCAAGAGAAAGACTACCAGTTCCTGGCTTCTGACTGACGGCAATGTCTCACTTCTATATGGAACTTTCATTATCCTGGCTATAATCTGCTAGAACCGGAAGATTCTAGCAGATTATAGCCAGGATAATGAAAGGACACTCATCAACGTCAACTTTTTCTCACAATAGATTAAAGTACCCCGATCATTTCTCTCAACGGATTATGGGTGCAACATTGCGTGATTCAACTTGGGATCAGCCCAAAAGATCAAGGGCGAGTCTGAGGAATTTTTTAGGTAATTTAGGCCTTGTCGGATGAGGACTGATGAGTGATCGCCTGCTACGTCCACGGGGCGCATTTTGCGGTTCGTCACCGGGCGGAAGGGCTTTTTTTCAAGGAAGAAAGGAGAGGGCCAATGGATTGTGTTGGCTTGGGGAGCGCCCGCGACACGCAACGCCTCTGCGTGGTTATTCAGGATTTTACGGCCCGTTCCGTTGCGCGCATTGCCTGGGAATTGGAGCGTTGGTGACAGGAAACGCGGTCGTAAAGCACGAACACGTTTTAGGAATTGTCAAACGTCACGCGCGTCGAGTTGAGCGCGCGCTTTGCGTGCCGCGTCGCAAAGCCTGGAGTGCGCGTAGCGTGTCGCGGGCGGGCCCAGTCAAAGCTAATCCAGGACCGGGAAGTCCAAACCCCCCAATTTACATAACCGCTACGTTCATGACCCCCAGCAAGCCTCGCTACTACCTTTCACCCGTCTAGGCGGCAGGCGCTTTGCGTGTCGCGGGCGTGAAAAACTGAGATGCGGGAACTGTAAGCTTTAGCCAATAAAATGGGTTACCCGGCATTGCTAGTCGCTTTAAACCCAAAAACCACCTACCCTCCCTCCACCTCTGGAAATGTTTCAGCGGGTTCATTTCCGAGAATGCACGAGCGGCCGCCAGTTTAGCAGAATAAAGGTTGATTAAAAACCCCACGACACCAGAAATCGCCAGGGGCCAACACTGGGCCGGATTCTATTGTGCAGCAATTTCGAGGGAGGAAGCTTCAGAGGGATGGGGGGCTTTCGGGGGCTTTTCCTAATTGAGTGGAAAGCGGCGCATCCGAAATTCTTTCTTCCCTTCCGCCCGAGCCAGGCAAGGGTTAGAGGTGGATTTTAAAGTAATTTTTAAGGACCCTCAGGGGGTATTTGGGGGGTTGCGAAAATAAAGAGATTTTCAGGGGCCCGGCAATTGTTGGGACGAACGGAAAAGGGGGATTTTCTCGGTGGGAAGTGCGTACTTTGGGGTGCGGAGGAACTTGGGAATGTGATGAATAATGTTTTGAGAAAATTCAGTGATAGCTATAGTCGGAAAGGAGGCCAGAGAACGCCACTGGAACTGGAAATTCCGGAGACTTGTCTCGACGACATTTGGTGTGTGGATAATAGCATTAAACGCGTCGCGGTTGCGTTCGCGTTGAGTTCGCGCTGCGGCCCCGATGCGATCGCGCTTACGCGTTGCGTTCACGTTGCTTTCACGTCGCATACGCGTTGCGTGCGCTTTGCGTGCGCGTTGCTTTGTGTTTCGTTTGCGATTCGGTTTCGCTGCTCCGTGTTGCGTCTGCGTTGCGGTCGCGGCGATTACATTGCCGGGATTAGCTGACTTTAACCCAACGTAAAATATACTGAATAGCCGCGCGTTTCTGAGCCTATCTTTTACGGAAAATTACCATTAAACAGGTCCAAAGGGCAGTGCAGGTCGATCCCGTTGATTCGACAAGTCATCCCGGGCTTGCAACCGTGCGTCACGCACTGGTCGAGTAACTGAAAACGGAAAATACATAAATATAAACATGAAGCGCCAAATTCGGAGCTCATAAAAATCATACTCCATTTTCCAAGCCAACCCGCGGGTTGAAGGGACCCCAAACCCATCTCATCTGAAGACAAACGATCCAAAATTTATGGCGTAGGCTGGTTTTTTTGAGGAGGGAATGATAGATGATCAAAATACGCAAAAACAGTAGAATCTGACATTGGTTTCAAACGAAAAATAGCTTTAGAAATTGTAAGCGGTGAGACTACCATGGATTTTGACGTAACCCTGCAGGCAAGTTCCAGCTACAAACACAGCAAAAAAAAACCGAACGGGGCTCTGAAATAAGACTTTCTGTGTAGAACAGTATATTTCGAGGGCAAAATTCTGCCATAAGTTGCCTTTGATAAACATTCAAACAATGTTATAATACCTTTTATCAAGAAATCCGGAAGCGTGATGATATTTTCGCAACAACCTACCAGAATCCAGACTTGAAAACACTTTTAAAGTTCGTCATTCGCGTTTCATAGTAGGGATAATTAGTTTTTAGCTTTATACTTACCCTGTAAAGAAATAGCTTATTCGACATCAAATAATACGGGCTCCGGATTTTTCAAGTAAGAAGAATGACGGAAACCCTGGGCCTCGGCAAGTAAATCGAAGGATCTGGGAGCAAACTCGAAAACCCTGGGAAACCCTATAACACCTCAGTGACCACAAATTTTTGTTAGGTATTTGAAGGACGGACATAGGACCGTGATTGGGATTTTTGAGGAAAATGTGAGAACTTGATGAAGGGGGAATAATCTGACCGAGGCTGTGTGGGCGCTAATCCGCCAAAAACCAAAAAAATTGGGTGGGGTTCGGATGAGGTGACTTGGCGCGTTTTTCATTCAAGGATTTGATGGGCTAATTCGATCAACAAAAAGAAAAATCAAGATTGTGTGTAAAGCCTGTCAAGCGATTTCGTTTTGTTCCTATGAGAAGCAGATTCTCACTGTTGAGTTCTTGTTTTCACTCGGGGATTACGGTACTGTAAGCCCCAATTTTAAGTAAATTATAGCAGATAGGAATAGCGTTTGAAAATATGTTTTAAAAAGCAAAGCGCACTTGCTAAAAAAAACATGGGAAACCAAAAAGATTGTTTAAGCCTGAAAAAAGCACCGAATTTTTACCGTGCTTTTCGACTTTTCAAATAATTTTTTTCGCGTACAAAAAAATTCTAAAGAGGCCGAAAATCCAGAAACCGATCAAAATGAACAATATCCATTTTGAAAGCGAAATTATAGAAAGTGTGGAGAAAATCTCATTTGTCCTTTGAACTCCTAAAAATCCAGAACTGGCTCTTTTCAGCCAAATTTTGCGAATTATCACGCAACGCTACTTTTTCTTGATGGTCGGGTGCGCAGAAATCGTAGTTATATGGGAATTTTCAGGGCCTGCGGCTGCTAATCCGGCGTCACTTGCTACAAATTTGCCGATGCATACGAAAGGAAGGCTGTCAGATATTTGACGTTTTCTACTTCTATCAAAGTGACGGGGATTAACAGGACCATGAGATTACTGATTTCCTGTACAACAAGTACCCATGCTGGTCACGTAAAACACACCCGAATTTGACAGTGATCACCAGAGTAGAACGGGGCGCACTGACAAGTGTATTCGCTTCGAGACTCATTCCCGGGCAGGCAGGTGCCCTCGTTCCAGCATGGGTACGTGTCGCACGCCGAGCCTTCTGAAAAAAAAATGCAAATATAGGACTCTTTGATTAAAAGATTCAGGTTTTTGTACAGACTACACTGTTATATTTTCCGAGCATCAGAAACTGCTCCTTTTGCTCCTTTTACTTCCTTTAAAAATGGCGTTACCGTTTTGGGCCAGTTTACCTGCGAACTTCTAAAGAATCTCTGCTAGTTTCGTCTCCATTTTGCCAAAAATCTTTGCTAGCTTGCCCAATCCTCAAAGAAACTCTGTTAGCTTGCCCTAGTATCAACAAAAAACAATGTTAATCGATTCTACATTTCTCAAAGGAACGCTGCAAGCTTGCCCGGTGTCGCTCAAAAACCTCTGCTAGATCGCCTGCGATCCCTGAATAAATCTCTGCTAGCTTGTCCCTATTCCTCAAAGAATTTCTGCCAGCTTGCCCTATGGTCTACAAGCTACAAATTATGAGAGAAATGGAAAGTAAGAGGGACCCGAAGACTCAAAAAGCTCAGCACCTCCTAGCGTGTCATATTCAAAAAGCATAGAATGCTGGGGCGGCTAGATGGAATCTTCTTGGTCTTGTTGAACTCTATGGAAAATCCGTTCCTCATCCACTTTATTTCCTCCCTTATTCTTCTCATAATATAATTTCGGGTCCCCAGAAGGGGCCAAAATCCCCCCTCGCGTTGTTGCTTTGTTTCCAATTTTTAGGGGTGTCGGATCGAATTACGGGGGGCGCTATGGCTTCTGGCTAGGGCTTCATGTATATTTTCGGGCAGGTATGATCTATGGCGAGATTTTTGGGAGGTTTTTGATCTCTTAATATTGGAATTTAAACTTAATGCGAAAAGTTTTAGCAAAAGCCGGGCGTGAAAACTTTAAAGGTCCGTTTTCGGGATTGAAAATCCAAATTTAAACAATCATTTAGTTTTTATAAAATTTTAGATGTATCCAGATTTCCAATTTTGTTTAGCATTAATAAACCAAAAAAAAAATTTATTGCATTCGCCCATTTGTCGTGCTTGCTGTAAAATATCCACGAATTCTAGAATGAATGAATTGAATTAAATGTGTAAAAACAAATGTAAAAACTCCACAGTGTTTTTAAATTGTTATAACCTATTTAGGCCATTTTAACCCCGAAAATAACCGCAGCCAAATTCATTCTTCTTCTCCTTTCGACTGGCCGCCGTTCCATGTTTCCATAACTTTTCAGCAGAAATCCCACGCCATTTTTCAATGTCGGCAATCCGAAAGACTCGAGGGATTTGTACCTCGCCTCCGTGCAGCCCTCCAGCTTGAAGCATTTTGTGCAATTTTTTTGGGGTAATTTATGGCTTCTGCTAAATCAGAAGCCGGGACCCCCGAAAAAGTCTTCGACAAAGGCTTCAACGAAGAAATTGGTTTTTAGGGAATTTTTGGGATTTAGGGATGATTTAGATAAAAATTTGGCCTGGGTCGGCTTGATGAAAAAGGCAAGCTAGCAGAGAACCCTAGGGATCAAAAAATTTGAACAACGAAGATGAGGAGGCTAGGTTGACGGGCGTTGCGGGAAAAGGCAGGCTAGCAGAGTTCTTTAGCGAATGACTAACCAGGACGGAACAAGAAGGAAGAAGAAGGAAGGAAAAGGAAGAAGAGGAGAAGCTAACCGTAAGAAGGTTCAGGTAAATATGGGCTTATTTTACTACGGTAAAAAAGCCAACCAGCAGAGATCCTTATGGCATTATCAAACAAGTTCCAATCTTTTAGCTTTTATGTTGCTTTACTGCTTTCCAATGTTTTCGGCTTCATGCGTTTTTTACATTTTTTGTGTAGTGCTCAGGACTTCGTCGTCCCCGTCGGGCTTCTCCCTCCATAGGTGTGTATGACAGCTCTGGACGAGGTGCTGCTACGGCTGCCGAGGTGTTTGTGTGTCTTTTTCGCTTCCCCCCCACTTTTTAGCACCCAACAAAAACTAATCCGTGCCCTAGCCCATTTGAGGCTGTGCTTTAGTTTTTTTGGAAAGCCGTGAGCTGGAGTGGAAAAGTAATAGGCTAAATGGGAAATCGGAGGTTGAGGAATCAGCAGACGTCATCTCGAATTCGATTTGGAATTTGGGTTTACAAGATTTTTTAGCGCTTTATCTACAGCATTTTTCGCTTCTACGTTTGCCGAGACAACACAAAAACTCCACCTCTGAAACATTATTCCGCTTCATCAGGCATAACCCGAAAATTTGAGCCTCGCGTGTGCCGGTTATTGTTCTTAAATTGCACCTATGGCGAGCGCTGATAGCGGAAAAGCGTACCACTTGGGAAAGGGCGAAAAAAACTTGAAAATCGGAAACGAAAGTTGTTGAAGCCGAGGTACTTTCCAAGCCCAGCGATAATGTCTGTATTGAGATTTAGAGCATACTTTAACGGAAGATGCTTAAGAAATCAAGTGGTGATTTTTAGCGGCGCACAGAAGGGCGAGAATTTCGTATTTTCTTTCCTTGGGTGTCGACACTACGTCTCGCTCCTAGTTACGATTGTAAGCCTGTCTCAAGACACGCTAAGAACGCATGCATTGCTGCACTCGCTTTTTACGCGTCGTGCACCTGTCGCCACCTAGCGAAAAAGAGGCGTCGCTTGTCGCGCTCGCTAGTTCCTTTAAAAACAATCATAATTTTTGTTGCATTCACGGTAGAATTCTGGCGTCAAAATGTTGCCATGTGCAATCCCAGTCCTGTCCTAGATACCTTTAGAAGTGACAGGCGCCTCAAGCACTAATCCTTCAATTCAACCTTCAGTCGGAGGTCTAGTCTGGCTTAAAAGTGTCACTACGATTAGCTCAGTTTCAGATGACTGCAATTTCCAAGCAAGAACGTTAGAATCCCAGCTTTATAATGTCAAATTCCGCAAAATCTAGCCAAGAAAATCCGGGCCCAATTCAGCCGCCACATCACATGTCACATTGCTCATCATCCACCTGGAACACCCTATGCCTTGTCTCCCTAGAGACCCCAAGCACTGGGTCTCTTTCTGGGCCCTAAGGAGCGCTTAGTATGGGCCCTCCCAGTGTGGCTGTCAGGAACGATGATGAAGCCCTTTTTCTAGAGGGCTTCTGAAGGCTGTGTGACATGTCCTCGTGGCTTAAGAATTGCTGGAACGAGGCCAGAGCCCCGGAGTTTTTACGATGGCTGGAAAAAATGGTAGTGAGGATGATAGAGAGACAGAGAGCGCGAGAGAGGTAGAGAGAGAGAGGGAGAGAAAGAGGCAACGACATAGCACTTACTGGAAAACGAGAGCGAGGAGAGAGAGAGAGAGAGAGAGAGAGAAATCTGGAAAACGAGAGGTTTATTGAGAGAGATGGAGAGAGATAGTCAGATGGAGTCAGAGAGACCTTAACAAATTTCCTACATCCGGTTAAAGCTTTGACCGCGATTTTACAGATCTAATTTTAGCCCTTTTTATCTGTGTTATCGTTACCGAACGATCCTTCCGCATTACAACTATTACACCGTGAAAAACATCTCTAAGCCACCACCCCCAGGGGTGTCTCCAAAATGCAACGAGCCTCCCTCTGCCTCCCCTCTAGGCGTTTAGTAGTTGGCCATCCACCCCCAGGGGACATCTCAAGGTCCCCCAAAAAAGTGGCGGCGACAATGAACGGGTCCTGGCGGGCATAAAAAGCTACGCTACTGAACGGGTCATCCTCAGTTAGTAAACAGGAGCGACAAAATTGTTTTTTGTAATTGACAAAAGATTCCGCGAATTCGGTGATCCACTGAAAATCGCTGCTTCGCCAAGATTTTAACCAGGGTCGAAAAGCCATCCCAGGCTTTTTAACCTTGGCCGCCGTCTGGAACCAAAGATCACCTTCCATGCTTCTTTTATAGGCTACAATTTCGTTCCGGTGCATGCTAATTGACTTAGCAAAGAGAAGCACGCTTTCTTTTTCTCCAAAGAAAATCGTTTCAAGGCAAAAGCTTTAAAAACAGAATAATTGCCAGAATATCAATATTTCCTGATTTCAGTCCCTTTAAACCTCATTTTCAGCCCGTTTTCCGTTCCGAAACGCTCCGTTCTACGTCGGAGGGTAGAAGACAATTGGACGTGACCCTTTCTCATAAAACGAACGACCCCATCTCGGTGGGGTCTTCTAAAAGACGGGCCCTTTTTTGCTTCTACCAATTATTCTGGGTTTTCACATTTTTAATTTTCTACCGGCTTTAAACTATTTAAAAATTGACAAAAATAGATCATGGTATAGAGCTCAAAGAGCCGATTCCAAATATCCGAGTTTGGAACTGAAACGATAAGTTTACAGCAATTTACAGCGGCTTGAAAATTGGTTCTCTTCCCTCCTTTACTACCAATTAGTCGTCCCCTCTTGCATTACTAATCTTCTGTCCTCCCCTCACGACGACCAGCGCTAGAATATGTTCTTCGACCCAAAATGACTCCCCTCCCCCATTCCCAGCCGTGTTTTTTCCTGACTAATGAATGGTCAGGAGGCCAATATCTGGTGGGGGCCCTGGGGGCTAGGCCAACAAATTGCAGGCGTCCTTTTGGGGCCCCGGAGCCCTTATTTGGAACGGACACGGCCACCCGGTGCCTCCTACTCTAAAAAAATGGGATTTCTGACGGCCGCCGGTCACTCAGTGGGTGGAGGGGAATTTTTGGAATTGAAAATTTGACGTATTCTTGCAAAAAAATACAATTAATGGCACGGGGTCGGGGTGCTGACGTTACGGGATAAAAATCGAGGTTGGGTTTAGCAGGGCAGGCTAGCAGCGATTTCTAGGAGACTGTCCGAGTAGAAAGTCAGCTAGCAGAGGTCCCTTAGAAGCCAGAAATTCAAAATTAAGGCTGGAATCGAGCAAATCGGCTGGCTAGCAGAGATTCTTAGGAAAAAACCCCAACGAAAGGTGAGCAAGCTGAGATCCTTCAGGAAGAAATTGGGAACACCTGGAACTGGAACAACTGGAATGAAGGCGGGATGGCAGATATTCTTTAGGAAAAATTCACGTATGGGGCAAGACAGCAACAGTTTTTTGGATAACTACAAAAAGTAGTTTAGGCAATCTAGCAAAAACACTTTGAGGAACACACGAATCAAGTAAAGACAACTAGTAGAGATTCCCTAGGAAAATTTCCAAAGTAAATTTGAAGCTCAAAAAACTAAGAAAGTCCCAACCTTTTACAATCCACGATCCGACCCCGTTGAGCAATTGGTCCGCCGCGACCGCGTAGTAGGTGTTTTCCATGAACAAGGCCTGCAAAGGTTACATCTATATTTGCATACTTGACATAAAAAACCATTAAAAAGTAAGGGACATTAATGCTTCACAAAACGGAGTGAGGGAGCGAGGGTGGGAGAGCGCGCGAGAGAGCGAAAAGAGACTAGAAGTGAGAGAGACTATGGAAATTTGGCACTAAAATCAAGAAAATCGTCACTATTTCCAAACAATAGCCCCTCGCAACAATAATTGAATTGAAGCACCTCTTTTCTGAAGTGTCCAGCCACTATACTGGTTCTTCCCCTACCCGCTCATTTTGAGTGCTTTGTCGTGCTCTAGCAGGAGGGGGCGGGGCCCACCGTGGGGGGGGGGCTTTGCACTGGTGTGCTCCTCCTCATGGTGGGGACACTTCTGGGTCACAAAGAAGTGGATAGGGAAGCTGGAAAAGCCGCAGGGGCTTGAATTTCAGGCTGGGCGGGGTGGAACCCATCGACAAATGGGATTAGGTGGGAGGCCACCTGGGCCGGATATGGGGGTACGAACGGCTGGAACGGCTGCTTTTCGTGGCGTTTTTTTCGAAAACAAGCTCCAGGTAGAGGGTCCTACTGGAAGCCTCGCATGTTTAGTTTTTTCACAGGACTACAAAGGCAGAAATCTTTGGGTCCTGCTGGAAGCCTCGCATGTTTAGTTTTTTCACAGGACTACAAAGGCAGAAATCTTTGGGTCCTGCTGGAAGCCTCGCATGTTTAGTTTTTTCACAGGACTACAAAGGCAGAAATCTTTGGGTCCTGCTGGAAGCCTCGCATGTTTAGTTTTTTCACAGGACTACAAAGGCAGAAATCTTTCGGTTTTACCGGAAGACACGAAAATTTATAAATTTGCTACGATAAGGTCTCGAATTTTTGCAAGTTCCCTCCGGCGCGGTTGTGAGAAATATTAGGCCGCTTCGGCTGCGAGGCAAGGTCCCTTTAATTTCTAAAGGGCCTGGACAAGATGCCAAAATCCCGGGATCTTGTCGAATTTCGACAGGTTAAAATCCCAAAAAACAAAATCTCGACATTGGAAAAATACCGACAGGCAACATCTCGACATGCGAAAATGCGGGCAGCCTAAATCAGCGACCGGCCTAATATTTTGAATTTATGATGGATTTGCGTCGTTTCTGGTCGTCGTTGTCGGTATCTTCGTTTTATCGGTATTTTAGCTGTCGGGCTTTTTTAGATGAAATTATGTATGTAGATTTTGAGATTTTCGTCTTTTCGGAATTTTGGTTGGCGTGATTATTGGTGAAATTCGAAGGCAGGAAGAAAGCAATTTGCCACGTTACCTTTAGGTACCGAAATTCACTGGGTAGTGGCTATCGTTTGCTGCGCGCTACGTTGGACCCTGACAAACGGCTCGAAACTATGGGGGGTTAAGCTAAAGAAAAGTTGAGCTTGGATAGTGACAATAAACGGATCGAACTCGCCAAACTACCGGGCAAAACTTTACAAAAAAACCAATCGCGACAGTCACCTCGCGTCTCCAATCGCCCAGGGGTGTTCGTGTAATGTGGAAACAAGGCTCACTAACCCGACCTCCTCAGCCCTGTACTAAACGCCTAGATAGTCTATTCTCAGCCAATGGCCAATCCCGAATGTCCATGTTTTCTCCCCGGGGCTCGACCCTTGCGGGGCACAATCGGGCGCAATTATGCGCGAGCCGCTCTCTTCCTCTCCGATCGCTTTCGGGTCGTTGCCAAAATTGTCGGAGGGTGGCCGGCCGGGCAGCTTTACACGATTAGTAGTATTTAGTTCCTCGCGTAGTGGCCGGGAGCCATGACTAATGGAGATCATTTTCTGGTCAATCCATACCTTACGGGGTGGACTTGAACGGCACTGGCCTGTTGGCGGTGGGTGGAATTTTTGATTGCGAATGCAAATTTTTTTCGGACGGCCCTGTAACAAAATATAAACAATTTTTATAGCATTTTGTGCAGTTTTTAGTCATATAAAAGTTGCAAGAAATGAAAACTAGTGATTTTCGTCAAAAATTAAATTTCAGAATTTCGAGGTTTTTCAAATTTTTATGGCACTCAAAACCAGTGAAAACCGTAAAGAATACGTTGTAAATATGATAAAAGCCAAAACAAAAAAAGTGATTCCCGGCCGTTAAAAAGCCCATCGGTAAAAGTGCATTGCCCTGACCAAATATCGTTGGTTTTTTAATTTTTATCTTTTAAGCCCGAATTCAGCCAATTTTTGTATGCCATTGTGAAACAGAAAAATCAACATATTGTAATTAAATACATGACATCGAAACGTTGTTCTCTAACGCTTAACAAACGTTTAGATAAAGATGTTTTACTACTCTGGTTTAGTTATATTCGAAACCAGCACAAAAAACTAGCCTAGAAAGACTCAAAAAAGTCGAAAACCAAAGTGCCCCCAACCAGTATAGTGCCAAAACTTCAAAAAAATGTTGCGTGTATGAGGCGGTTCTCTGAACATTCCTAGAACGTTTACCCCCTCCCCCGCTCGCCGCTGCTACTAGCGATCGCCCTAGTATGAATTTGCATCTATTTGGGGATGGATACGGCTAGATGTGCAGTGCCTGGGGGCTATGAAGAGCGACGTCCACCCGGGCCACTGGGGGGTCAAAGGCCCAGAAATATGCAAAGTGGATCCGGGGTCTGCAGCTGTAGTTTGGCTGCAAAATTATAGATGGAAGGAGAGAGAGAGAGAGAGTAAGAGAGAGAGAAAGAGAGAAAAAGAGAGAAAGATAATATGGTAATGTACGAAAACAATTGAAAGCAGAATCCGGAAGGCCTGGAAACGCCAAAAACCCCAAATTCCGCCTTTTTCATTCGTCGGTGTGGGACCAGGGCACGCTAGCCCATTTCCATGGCTGTAAAATTGCGCGGAAACGAATTAGCGAGTCATTTATATTGTCGCGGCGCCGTAGAGGGAGGCTAAATTAAGTGCCCCGTAGCGTGGAAAGGTACGGAATATGGGATTTGGAGAGGCCCAAGAATAGACTGGATAATCATTTCCTTCTCTCGCGCGCTCTCTCTCTCTCTCTCTCTCTCTCTATTTATTGTTCTCTTTTAGCACAAAGTTTTGAATATTTTTTATTTTGCCCACGTTCCTGCTTACTCCGGCACGCTCCGCGCATTCCAAACGACACGCCCCCCACTCATATGACAAATTTGCTGCATTTCATGTGTAGACTTTTGGCACTGCCCCTGCCATTCGGTCAACAAACTCATTGGCCCACTGAGAGGCGAGGAGGCGGAGGAAGAAGATGTTTTTTGGGGAGAAGCGGAAGCCACGGATCCACCTTGGCTGAATTGCTAAAAACAGCCTATGGAGAGAAACCAACAGACTCAGGAGATATACATGAAAAATCAAAATATACTTGTCAAAATTCAGGGCGAAGAGAAAGAGCTGCACGAGAAACAGCGAGAGACAGAGAGAGTGAGGGAGAGAGGGAGAGAGAGAGGGAGAGAAAGGGAAGGAGAGAGGGAGAGTGACAGCGAGGGAGAGAGAGGGAGAGAGACTGTATAAGCAAGAGAAGAGAATCTTTACTATCATGCCGTGAAATTTAAGTAGCTCCTCCATCCCAAAAAGCCCAAATCTCGCCCTGACCAGGATCCAATCAGGAGTGCTACCAAAAAGTTGCCCTAGTGGCTTGGGGCGAGGATTTGTGGCCCGTCCGGGGCCATGTCCCCGGGGATGCACCAAGGCTCTAAGCAGATTGTAAGCGACGCCCGCCCAAACTAGGGACCCAGAGAGGGCAACGGAGGCCAAAAATGACAAATGGTGGCTCTGGGTCTTTCCCGGAATCGCCAAATGCATTGCCTTACATTCAATTTGCATATTTTTCGGGGTGGAGCTGGATGTTGGAGCATGAGAGTCAGGCTAGATCGCAAGCAAAGCTGAGTTGAGCACAAGCTCGATCAAGAAGATGACGAAAATTTGCATTTGAAGAAAATTTTTAGATGCAGGGAAAAGAGTGTGCACGAGAGGGGAGAGGGCCAGTGAAAGCGAGAGAAGAATGAGAGCGAACGAGAGCGAGCGAGAGATAGGGAGAGAGAGAGAGAGAGAGAGAGAGAGAGAGAGAGAGAAGGGGGTGAAATATGAAGAGAACGCGTGAGCGAGAGGAGTAGAGAGATCGAGAGCGATCCGACAAATCAGAGCAGGAAAACTTCTTGTCATGCTCCCTTTTAAAACTGACGAAAATCTAGAAAAAAAAGTCTCGGTAAACGCTGAATTAAAGGGAGCAAAAGCTGTCAGTCTATTAGTATGCGTTTTTATACCTCCACGATTTTAATTCCTTTATTTTGCACTGGCAAGGAAAAATACAGACAACGGTGAGCGCTAAAAGATCTAATGGTGTCCATACTCGTAGGGCGAGTAGTAATGGGGCTCGTAGTGCTCCTGATGATGGTCATCGTGGCCACCGTACTGGGGCTCGTAGTGTCCTCCGCCGTAGTGCTGGGGCTCGTAGTGGCTGTAGTGGGGCTCGTAGTACTGGGGCTGTTCCTTGTGGTGGTCGTACTCGGATCCGTGAGCGGCGTGTCCTTGGTTGTAGTAGCCGGCGTTGTCGGATTCTGAAAAATATTCGATAGGCGCAAACGAAAGAGAGAGATAGAGAGAGAGAGAGAGAGAGAGGGAGAGGGAGAGAGAGCGTGAGAGAGAGAGAACCGGCGAGAGAACAAGACAAAAACGTACTCTGTCCCTTGTCGTACTGGCTGTAGTGTCCATCATGTCCGTGGTTCTCCTTGGCGTAGTCGGAGTGATCACCACCGTCCTGAGCGTAGTACTTACCTAAATTCCCGTCCTTTTCAAGCCGTTCAAAAACCAATCAGAAACTTTCCAAATCACTCACCATACTTGCTGTATCCCTTGTTGTCGTACTTTCCATCTCCGTAGTGTTCCTTGCCGTAGTCGTGCGAGTCGGCTCCGTACTTCTTGCCGTGCTTCTCGTCCTGGTGGAACTGCTCCATGTGGTACTGGGGCTGCACGAATTTGTACTCGAAGTAGCCGGTGGACTTGGTCTTGACGTCTAGAAGGAGGGAAGGTTAGGGTGGTTGAGAATCACGCTCATCAAGTACAAGCAGTTCAACCCCTCCCAGCCCGTTCCTTACCCTTTCCAAAGTGCGAGTCCTCCTTGGCGTGCGTCTTGCCGCCGTGCTTGTCAGCCACGTGCTCCTCGTGCTTCTTCTTCTCGCCCTCCTCGGCCTTGGAGGCGTGGTGGTGGGCCTGGTCGTACTTGTCGTATCTGGAATCCGGAAGTTTGTTAGAGTATGGAGCCATTAATGTCCTAGAGCTGCAGCTGCCACTCACTTTCCATGCTCGCCCTCCTTGCCGGCCTTCTCGAAGCCGTACTCTTGCCCATCGTGATGTGCTCCCTCGGAAGAGTACTTCTTCGCCTCGTACTCGGCCTTGTGCGACTTCTCGTCGTACGACGGCATGCACAACGCGGCTCCGAGCACAGCGCAGATCAGCAACGTCCTCGGGATCATTCTGAAGGAGGTCAGTACGTTTTTAAGTACAAAATCTGAAAAGTTTTTCAGGGCATATTGCGACCCAGCGTCAGCAAGTAGCATTATTCAGAAATTTCGAAGATACGACGCTTTTCCAAGCGTTTTAAGGGGTGGTGACATAAAACCCACTTTGAAAATGTGGAAAATGTCGAAAAAACACTGTAAAAGTTTTGAACTCCTCAGAAATGCGGCAAATGAAACCCTTAAAAGCCTGAAAAAATGCGAGAAAATTCCAGTTTTCCGCTTAAATGCCCCAAACGATGCCAGGAATTCAAAAAATGAACTGATGCTCAGAAAATTGAGCTGATTGGATGGGGAGTGGACGATGCTCCGATGCTGTCTTGCCCCGTCTCCCCTAACTTTTATACCCCTGGCGAGCCGAAATATGTGGGGCATTTTTTTGCGCTGGTATTCCGAGGGGACACATTGCCCTCCTCTCGTGCTCATCAGCTCGAGCTCCTTTGAATACGCTGAGGGGGATGGTGCTCGGACAATGGACCTTCCTCCTCCTGCTCCTTCTCCGCCACTCTTCTTCCCATCAACCATCAGCGTTCTTCTTTCCACCCTGTCTGTCTGAGCGTTCCGAGTAGCGTTCCGGAATTCGTGGCGCGCCTGGGGTAGAGCCACTAGCCAGTAGCGAGGGCTCATGTTATTTCTCGTGACGATATTTAACTTTGGGGACCTGGCGTAAGTGATTGGATCTGTGCATTACGTATCGTATTTCAGTACTTTAACAGAATATTCCAGATCAAGTGAAATTCTTGAGCGCCTTTAAGATCGTATCGTTTCAGGCATGCGTTTCGTTCGACCTCCTTTGAAGTTTCCGACAGGGTGCTGTAAGCCAAATAATCTATTTTCTGTAGTTTCAGATATTCAGATAGCTGTAAGGAAATAGCAATTTTTTTGCGTGGCTGCATCTTGAAACGTATTGAAGATGCCGAAGAAAGGAACATGGAGTCGAACACCTTGATCGCGTCTTGAAAAAGGCGGAACGACGCTACGAACTATACTGCCAAATGACGGCCTATGCCTTGCAATTAGTGTCGGACAGCACCCCAAGAAACGCACCCCGGGTGCCTTTGAAACGCACCCCAGGGGGTCTTTGAAACGCACCCGGGGTGCCTTTCAAACGCACCCCGGGGTCTGTTTGAAACGCACCCCGGGGTGCGTTTGAAAGACACCCCACTCCCTCGGGGGTGCATTAATAGTGTCCCCGGGTGCCTTTGAACGCACCCCGGGGTGCCTTTCGGGGTGCGTTTGGGGGCGTGTTTTGGGGTGTGTTTCGGCCCCACAGGTTACCAAGAATAGCAAGGAAAGCGATAAATAAAAGTATATTTGGCATAGGAATATTGCAGAAACCCTTCAAAATGCTATTCATGCCGCATCTCATGCTCCAGTTATTTCCGATTAATTGTTTTCGGTTCCATTTTTGGAAATCCCGTAAATATTTTCCATATTTGTTGCCAAAATTATGAACAAAATCATTTCAGCCCCGATAAAATATGAAAATCGTACCATAAATTGTTTAAAACTCCAACACAGGCTATCAAATATATCTTACTGAAAGCGGAGCCGTCGGATGGCATCAATTCTGTATAGAAAACTTAGTAAAACATATCTGTAATATCCCTATGCCAAATATACTTTTATTTATCGGCTTTCCTTGCTATGCTTTGCCGCCTGTGGGGCCGAAACGCACCCCAAAACACACCCCCAAACGCACCCCGAAAGGCACCCCGGGGTGCATTCAAAGGCACCCGGGGACACTATTAATGCACCCCCGAGGGAGTGGGGTGTCTTTGAAACGCACCCCGGGGTGCGTTTCAAACAGACCCCGGGGTGCGTTTGAAAGGCACCCCGGGTGCGTTTCAAAGACCCCCTGGGGTGCGTTTCAAAGGCACCCGGGGTGCGTTTCTTGGGGTGCTGTCCGACACTACTTGCAATTAGCCGGGTACCATACTAAACTTTAGATCTATTTATCTATCTATTTAGATCTACTTTGCATTCGGATTTACAGGTTGTTTTGCTGTATTTTAAGAAGTATGTTTTCCTTTTTCTGTTTCTAGCTGTTTATTCTTTGAATTTGATGCCTTGGATGCATTTTTCAGAAAAACGTTTTCCAACAGATTATTTATTGTCTTGACGAAGCGGCGTGGAGGGGTAGGGGAAGAGACAGGGGGAAACTACATTCATTTCACAAAAGAACACACACAATCAGCATAATGTATAGGGTCGTAAAGTAATATTCAGAGGGCTGCAGGGGGGGCGCTACACAATGGCACACGGGTATCGGAGAGTTTGGGGGAAAGTGTATAAAAATGGACCCAGGCTTACGGTAGATTCAGAAAAAAAAAATCGGGTTTTCCCGGGTCCATAGGTCGATTTTTAGGAACTACAGTAGTGTTTAAAAATTCCAATTTCAATAATTTAGCAAGATACGGGAGTGGAGAGTTAGAGAGAGAGAGTGTGTGGAGACGCAGAGATTTTGGCGAAATCGGAGATGACGCGGGAAGTTGATGTCATGTCAAATCAGGTGAAGGGTGTAGGGGGTGAAATTGCGGGTTTTCGAGATTTACGGTAGGTTTTGAGGGGTTGTAGATTGTAGCCTAGTGTACTTTACGCTTCAAATTTCAATACAGTACATTAGGTTGCAAAAGATAACCCCCCGGACGGCAACACAAAAGCACAACACGCGTAACCTAAATACATGTCTCTTGTGGGGCTTGTGGGTGGCGGGCGGGAGTTCAGTTTTCAGGGCAAAATGTAAGGTTTTAAGGCCAGGCGGGTACGGTATTTAGGTCAAGATTTAGAATGCCGTACCCCCAAAACCTCAAAACCACAGGGTACATAAAAATCTACAAAAATCCAAGCATGCAGCGCGGGGGTCATCACACGGAGTGCAGAATCATTGGTGGGGCCGTAGGAAAGTGGGGGAAAAATCGGAAAATATTTTTTAACCTTAAAATTGTAATAAAAAAAATAGAAATTTGCTTTTTCCCCAAACCGAGTTGTATTTGGAAGAAATCACAGTAAAATGGGGGCGGTCTGCATGGTTAGGCTTGGGCTTAGTTCAGCTTAGCTTCGACTTCGGCTTAGGCTTCACTCAGGCTTGGGCTTGAGCTTAGGCTTCACCAGTGCAGACCGGAAAGACGGATAGTACATATGAGCACACTAGAACTTTCCGGGGGCGTCTATAGGACAGTGGCGGAATTTTTGGGGTCAAAAGGGTAGATGAATTTCGGAGAGTACGGTAGCATACTTTAACCTATTATAATCTTACCGAAATGCTACGTACTTTCCAAAATACGGCCGCAAAATCGTGGGTTTCATACAGTGGGCGGGCCACTTTTTAGGGCGACCAAAATTACACAAAAAACGGATTAAATTTGAATTTTTGAAAAACCGCTAAAAAGTAGGGATGTTTTAAAGGGACCGGGAAGCTTGGCTTTTAGAGAAAAATAAAAAAGTATCTGTTTTTGGCGGATCAAAGAAAAAAAAAAGTTGGCTGCGCGCTGGCGGCGGCGGCTGGGCTGAAAGACGGGTGCACGATAAGAGAAAATCGGTTTTTGAGAGCGGTTAGAGAGATGGTAGGGGGCGAGAGTGGGGGAATTGGAGAGAGCGGGGACAGAGAAATATACAGTAGACAATTTAGAGGGTGGCCGGGGTACTGTAGAGTACTGTATTATGCCCAAGAGCCGCCAGGGTCATCAGTGGAGGACCGGGAAGCCCAGAAAAGGGTCCCGGCTGGAGGCTGGGGTAGTCTGAGGAATTTTGGGAAATTCCGCAGACCCACCTTCGCACCCTGGAGATCAGAGATTGTCCCCGACGGCTCGCTGGGCAGAGATTAAGGGTGGAGAGTGGCCAGAAATGGATTTGAGTTTTTGTGGGGTACTGTAGCCAGGGCAAGCTTTAGAAAACAGGAACTTAATGCAAACAGATTCGGAAAAGTTTGGTTTCCTTGCTGTATTTCATTTTTTAGAACTTGATGACGATTTTAAATAGTTTAAAAGCGTTTAAAAAGTAGAAAATTTGAACTTGATTAATTTAAATAGTTTTTGAACCGGAAAATCTAAATTTTCAATAATTTTTAAGCCAAATTCCAGGCTTAAGTCAAGCCGCAAAAAACGAAATTCGGCTATTTTAGTTTCAAAATTCCGATTTTTGCAAAAAATGCGGCTTTTTTCTAAATCTTGCCCCAACTACAGTACCCAAAAATTCAAATCCATCCCAATTAAAAAAGGAAAACAACTACACGGTCATCTTACGGGTCAAGTGAGAGAGCGGTGAACGCTGGGCCGTCGAAAAAATTGCAAAAAAATCAGAATCAAGACCTTTTTTGCACTCTTCCGGGGCGGCTGAAAGACTTGCTGAAGTTGGCGGCGGTGGTGTAGTTTGGAGCGTGTGGACGTGGGGGGTGAAAGATGACACGGTAATCACAATTATTTTCCGAAAATCGCACGAGATTTTCGAGAGCCAAGGCGTTGCGGGGGCGGGTGAAAGACTGGGCGGAGATTGAAAGGGGCGCGTAGTTTGGAGCGGTGTTTTCGAAAAATTTCAGGAAATTAGAAAAGAGAACAATCAAATAATTCCGACTAAACGTGACGAGACGACACACACAACACAGAAGCGCGCGACTAGGTGGGTACGAGCAAAAATTGGGGGCGGCGACGAAATGGGGCTATTCCAGCGAAGCTGATTACGGCAGAGAGGGCGATTTTTAGAGATTTATATGTGCACATGGCAGCGAAGAATGCTGGTTCTTCGATGATGGTGGCTTGGAGGGTTGAAGGTTTCTAAAAGAAAAATTGAGGCGTGGAAACTAAAATTAGTCGAATTTCTGATTTATCTCTTTCGCTCTCTCCTTCTCGCTCTCGCTCTCGCTCTCTCTTTCTCTCTCTCTCGTTCTCTATCCCGTTTCCGACAAAATGTTTCTCTCTTTCTCCATTTTTGCTTCCTCTCTCTCTCTCCTCTCTCTCGCGCGCTCTCTCACTCTCTCTCTTTCTCTCCCGCTCACTTCTATCAACCTACCATTAATGTGTTGGTGGTGTAGGCTCCGCTGGAATCGGGGTGTTTTGACAAGAATTCTGGACGAGTAGTGGTTGTCGAAAAATCAGGAGAAGACGAAGAGGGAAGGGGGATGAAAGACCGGACCGGATGCTTGGCTCTGAAAATAGCATTTAATATGGGTGTATTTTAAAAATAAAGCATCTACATCTGACACTTTCGAAAGCTGCTTCAAAAATTCTAGAAAGCAAAAAACGCGGAAATACAGCGAAAGGTTTGGAATTTGAAGCAAGAAACCAATTATCACATGTAAAACTAGGTATCCCTAAAAAGCAATGAAAAGCCATACCTATTTATCCACACGCTCATCGCCTTTGGCCGATTTCGAAGCCGCGAGGGCGGAGAAGTGGGCGTAGACGGCCGCGTTCACATCTGGAAATGAAAGAGTTGATAAAAATCTATATAAAACTAAGTTTTAATCAATTATTGAAAAACGTAGCCAGTTTCTACTAGAAAAATATGGAAGAAGACGCAGAGAAGAATCATTTTCGGTATCCCATAATGCAGAGTTGACAGTGAGCGGAACGCTGTGTTGGGCAAACAAGGAGCAGCCGGCCAGACGGCGTATGCGCGCGCGATAATATTTTGTTCGATTGGACCGGGGATTGATTGACTAATGAATACCTAATGGTTTTTTTATTCTTGCTTGCCAGAGAAGGGTTGAAATACACTATTTAAGAGGCCAAAATATATGCTTACGAAAGTTAGCGGCCGATCCTCTGAAAAACTAACTAATCGAGCCCCAAAAAATGTGTTTCTTATGCTTTCAAAAACCATTGTCATTTTTTAAAAATTACCGCAACCTTATAAATAGTAATTTAGATTTAGGGTTTTGTATGAGTTTTTACAATATCACACAAAGTTTTTCATCATTTGAGGGTTTAAAAGAAGACCTCAAGGCTTTGTTAAGCTTTAGGTAGGCGTAATAAAATCTAAAAAATCAAAATAGTTAGTAGTTATGTCATAGCTACAGTAATCCAGCTCTAGGTATCGTTTTGAACTTTCGAAACTTAAATAAAAAGCTCACAAGGGGTTTAAAGCAGAAATACGAAGTCACGGGGCCAAAAAATTGCGAGCTTTAAAAATCCGTCGAAATCGGAATAAAGTCTGCTTTAATTTTACTTATAGTTGGTTACAGTAACTACGCTCTATTAAGTGAATCTAAAATTGAATTCGTAAACCCAATGAAAAGCCGGAAAAATCGGTTGAATGGACAACCGAGAGGGCAGCTTGAAACGTGGCGCCCCCCCCCCGCCCCCATCCATCCCGCCGACATATTCGGTGGATGGCCCGGGCTTTTGCCCCGGCCATCCGCCCCCCCCCCCCCACGCTTTATATAACGCCCCCTGCTTCACATTCACTTTTATGCTTTTTGTTTCTTTTCGGAGGGGGGGGGGGGGGGGGCTGGGATCGACGCGGTGAGCGAAATTGACGGACGGGTGGTGGCCGGCGGGGCCGCGAATTCGATAAGAAATTCTGGGATTTTGGTCTTTGACAATTGGCATTCAGCGACCAAAGGTTTTTTAAAGTTTGCGACTACGGTAGACGGGTCAGTTTTTAGGCAATACAGCCAGAAACTAAGTTTGGGTACCAAAAGGATCTCTCATCAATTCCGGCAATGCGGCTTTTTGCTGGCGCATCAATTTGGGCCAGGGTGGGTGATTGGTGATAAGGGCAGATGATTCCTCGGTGGGTTTGGAAAGCGTAGTAGCAAAGAAGCGTAATTTGGACCTTGCTAAAGTTAGATCACTCGGGAACTTGAGGATACGGAAATTTATGTGTGTTTCAGCGAGCTAGAAAAAGTAGAAAACGCGAGAAAAGCCGAAGAAACGCTTTATCGCCAACGATCTAGGTGAAGCTCGAAGGCGGAAACCTAATTTTTCATACCATTAACCGATGTACACCGACCTTTGCCTTCCGGTTGTTAGAGCGAGAGAGAGAGAGTGAGAGAGGGATAGTGAAAGCAAGAGAGGGACCAATTGATATACGATAAGAGACCCCCGAGAAGAAAGTGAACCGTCGTCGCCTGGGGGCAAAAGACGGTCCCGGGCGTGGAATTGGGTCAGCCGAACAATCGGGCTCCTTGTCTTGTCTTTCAACGCGGGAAGGAAAAGCCGCTTTTTGAGGGTCGTGTCGGGATCGCTTTCGCTTGGTAGCGAATTGAGGGGGTTCGGGAATGGGGAGTGAACTCTCGATTGAACGTTTTTAACACTAAAATTTTAAGGTCTTTAGGCTTCGGCTTAGGCTTAGACTAGGCTTCGGCTTAAGTTCGCATTCGACTTATGCTTGTAATTTGTATGGTTTGTAATATAAAGGTTAATTTTTCTGTTTGCAGCCAAAAAAAGTGAGAGCATTGCTGCAAGTCAGGCTCCCGAGCTAAAAGTGTCACTCAAAAATTGAACCCTGCGTTTTTTCCACTAATTGACGGCTCAGCAAAAATCTGAATGGAGACTGTCAGGTTGTCTAGGATCGGTCAAGTGAGAAAAAAGCCAATACGACAAATTGATAGGAAAAGTCGGGTTCCAGGGGCCGGCCGGGCAGGACAAAGACCTCCTGGGAATGTGATAAGCCACTCAATTCCAAGGCGGTCTCGACATGGCGAATCAAGAAAATTAAATATACCAATTCTATAGCTAAGGTTAGAACCTTGATTGATCGCCATAGCATTTTTAACGTTTGAAAACCTTTCTCGAAGCAAAAAATCCAGAAATCCAGCGTCTTACGGCGTTTTTACCGCCAAAACTCGACTTTGATGAACTTCTAAGCGAGTCAGGGCTATGTTTAGAGCTCCTGAAACCATATTATGAAAATCAATCCCATCCCGACGACGAAACGATCCATTTTCCGCCCCGGCTCGGCCATGATCGGCGGTGGCGGGGGCGACAAATCGAGGGGAGCAGAGGGATATCAATTTACGCCCCGCTCTCGCAAAACCGTCCCCCACCACCACAGCTACGCCAAGCCAAGCCATGGCGTTGACCATCAGCGCCTAATTTGATCAGGGGAGGTGGATTGTGATATCGGGCGAACGGTTTGCGCGCGTCGAACATCATCCGAGTGAGGAATTTGAGGAATGCGTGGATCGGTTGACGTCGTAGCTATGATGAAGCTAGGGGTTTATACGATCTCTTTCGGGTTCGAGCTTCGAAAAAAGTCGAGCTCGAGCACATCTGGGGGCTTAGGGGTGGACTTGGCTTAGGTTTAGGAACCGGCCTTGGCTTAGACTTAAGCAACGTTGCACTAACACTTTAAAATAACCCGAAAGTAAAAGCTCTGAGAAAATGAAAACGACCTCCCAGACGATTAGCTTAACTATGAGGTCTCGCCGGTTATGACGCAGTTTTCCAGTACCTCGATAGATGGTGGAGTGTGGAGGCAGGAATCGCCACATCTCCGAGGGGACAAACATTTCCGGGCGCCTCCACCGCCGTCTTGCCCACCTCTCTGGGTGGCGCCTCGCGCAATTTTGGGGCGCCACCAGCACGGACCGGCGGGCGCGCCCAGGGTCCAATGATTGGCCAGCTGATCACGGGTTTCGGGGGTGGTTTCGATTACCTTTCAACCGAGAGAGGCATAAGGGATTCCTGGTTTTTAAAGGGCGTGAAATTAGAAGATATATACCAAGTAAAAAAAATCGTAATGTTGAAAACTATCGCATTGAACGGTTTACAAAATTTTCAAAACAGTAAAAACTACTCAACTTGAGGAAAAAGCTTTTTGAAACTGAGAAAACCTTTGAGAAAGAGATTTGAAAGTCAATTTCGCGGTGGGTTTCGGCAAAAATGAAGAAAGGGATCAATCGGAAGTGTCAAAAACCTGAAGTTTGCGTTTTGAAAAGCTGGAGCAAAATTCAAAAGCAAAATGCCATTTAAAGAATACAGTAAGCTACGAGACGCAATTTGGAGCAATCCGGACTTGTTATTATGTTGCCTTTCGGATGAATCTGCCCAAGGAACATATGAAAAGTCAGCCGCCTAGCCAGGCTGAATTGCCATCTCCAGACCAGCGTTTAGGACAGGGGAAACTGTTGGTGAAGAGATAAGTGGGCTAGTCAAAGCTTCTTCTCCTCCTTCTTCTTCCAGCCCAGCCCTCACCTCCGGACCCTCGAGTGCCAAACGGCTTGCGTCAATACTTTCTCTCGCTTGCTCTCCCCCTCTCTCTCTCTTTCTCTCGCTAACGATCTTTTTTCTAAGGCGATACGGTAGCTGCTACGCATATCCCGATCAAAGACCAGGATATCGAGGGATTACTGGAACCGCGGGACAGAACGAGAGAGAGAGAGAGAGAGAGAGAGAGAGAGAGAGGGAGAGAGAGAGAGAATGAGAGAGTGAGCGGAGAGAGAGAGCGAGAAGAGAGATACAGAGAAGTAGAAACAGGCTGAGGGTCATCTCTAATTTATTTACTGGAACCGCGGGACAGAACGAGAGAGAGAGAGAGAGAGAGAGAGAGAGAGAGAGAGAGAGAGAGAGAGAGAGAGAGAGAGAGAGAGAGAAAGAGGGAGAGAGAGGGCTAGCAGAGGTAATTGCGGAAACCATCGAAAATCCGATCAAACCAAAAGCGCCAAACTGGCCATTTTTATTCGGCGCCGCGGTCCCGAAATTTGCGTCAACATCCATGGGGAAACCGGTTTATAACTGTGCGAATATGAGCCGGTTCTTTGGTCCTGAATTGCCTGAATCTGCTGCCCACGCAAGGTTCTGCAAGCGTAATGATGTCAAATTTGCAGATGCGAATTTGGTCCCAAACAACGATGGCAAAACCGAAAGTCAAGCCGGGTGGCTGCGTAAATATAGGGTAGCGTGGGTAGATGGACAAAATGCAAAATGCCGACATTTAGTGGGAAGTGGGTTTTGGGCTTAGGAATTTGGCATTAAGCGGGGGATTTGGAGAGCGTGAGAGACAGACAGAGCGAGAGAAAGAGAGGGGGTAAGAGAGCGAGAATGAGAGAGTGAGCGGAGAGAGAGAGCGAGAAGAGAGATACAGAGAAGTAGAAACAGGCTGAGGGTCATCTCTAATTTGGAAAACCGTGAAAATTTCGAAAAACTAAAAGGCAGAAAAAAATTTTCTTGGCTTCTCGGTACCTTTAGGTAAAATACACTATGTTTTGCATTCGGGCTACTAGGTATCGGAAAACCCATTAACTGGACAAATTCGTACTTTTATGCCCCCCCTCCCCAGTACCGCAGTACTACACTGTAACACCACAAGATAAATGCCCTTCTCATCCCAGGAAAGCTACTTTTTACAAAAACCGCTTCCCGGAAAAATCGGAAGTTGGGCAGAGATCCGTAGGACCCCAGGGGCTTTTTGGCCATTGGATCAGGGGAATGGAGGGTATGCGACGGAGGATTGTCCATGTGCCTTCTTCTTTC